GCCGATGCCTCCGTCGCCTGGCTGGAGTGGCCGCGGGGGAGTCTGGAGTCGGGCGGCCGCTGGTGGGAGCCGCGGGTGCCCGGGCCGAGATTGGGGGGGCAAGGCGGGCGACGGAAGGCCGATGCCTCCGTTGCCCGGCCCTCTACAGAATCCACCCCCCAAACCTCCAGGTATTTCCCTCCTTAGAGCTGGCAACCCTACATTCCCCTCAGTGCCTGTTGGTAGGCAACTAAGCTTGGTCCTGTCACCTACTTTGGCCTTTGGGAGAAAACACATTGGGGCCAATCCTGATAGGGTTGCCAACTCCAGATGGGAAATTCCTGGAGACTTGAGGGATGGAGCCTGAAGAGGGTGAGGTTTGAGGAGGGGTGGGACCTCAGACAGGTACACTGCCATAGACTCCACCCTCCAAACCAGTCAGTCTCACATAGGGAACCATTGTTGCCAATCTCCAGGTGAGGGCTGGAGAGCACTCAGTATTACAACTGCTCTGCAGAAGGGAGGGCAGAAGTCAGCTGAAGTCAAAGGGGCAGATAATGGTAGGTTGGTGGCTAGCTGGGAAGGAGATGGGGTTGCCAACTACATGCTGACAAATTCCTGGGGATTTGAGGGGTGGAGCCTGGAGAGGGTGGGGTTTGCAGAGGGGTGGGACCTCAGACAGGTAGAATGCCATAGACTCCACCCTCCAAACCAGCCATTTTGTCCTGGGTAACAATTGTTGCCAATCTCCAGGTGAGGGCTACAGATTACTCACAATTACAACTGCTCTTCAGGTAGCAGAGATCAGTTCCTCTGGAGAAAACAGTGGACTCTGTCATTATACCCTGCTGAGGTCACCACAGCAAATTGACACTGTTTGCCCAAAGCCAGAGCACTGCCCCAGAGCCTCTTTCTAGATCCCATTGTATTGCTTTCACAACGGGCTTTACTGCTAGTTACCTATAAAACAGTTAAAAGTCGGTGCTCAACAGACCATATCAATTCCAAAATAAAATGCCAATAACAATAAAACACTCCAAGTAAACAAAATTGTCTCTGCTCAACTGATGTTACACTATAGCTGTCATCCCCATACCAGGGCCAGTGTGCCTCATGATGTTAATATGGTGGTTGTACAATGGCGGTGGCAGCCCCTACTCGAAAGCCTGGTGGAAGAGCTCTGTCTTACAGGCCCTGCGGAACTGCATAAGGTCCCGCAGGGCCCTGATCTCCTCCGAGAGCTTGTTCCACCAGGTAGGGGCTGCCACCGAAAAAGCCCTTGCCCTGGTTGCAGCATATTTAACTGCCTTGGGGGCTGGGATAACCAACAGATGTTGCCCCCCTGACCGTAGTGCCCTTGGGGGAACATATGAGGAAAGGTGGTCCCTCAGGTAAGCCGGACCCTGGCCATATAGAGCTTTAAAGGTAAGAACCAGCACTTTGAAATGGATCTGGTACGCTATTGGCAGCCAGCACAGCACCTTCAGCACAGGCTGGATATGGTCCCGCCTAGTGAGACCCATCAGCAGCCTGGCTGCTGCATTCTGCACTAGCTTGTTGAGAAAGAGATTGATATTTTCTGTTTATGGATTTATATCTGCTGACACACAAACACAT